ATTTCCATTTATCTACTCAATGAGAAGCAATCATGTTTTACCTCCTCTTCAACTAGACTCCTTCTGAAATACATCTAGTTGATTTTGAGTTCTGAAGTGGATGTATATTAATAACACATTGGAAAGAAACCCCCTTTCAGCAGTAATGAAAGAGTAACAGTTAAGTGTATGCAGATGTCTCCTTACAATCTGTGGAAGTGTCATCACATCTTAGTTGTAAAGGTAGCATTTCATGTATATGAATTGTAAATAGCAGTTGTTTTGAAAATTTGTTTTCTACCTATACACATATTATATATGAAATGTAACATCTGAAACAAGTTAAATTTGTATAAGCATACCTAAGGGTGACAGCTAGCAAAGCCATTCAGAAGAAAATTCTATGAATTGTAAGCACAGGAAGACCAAAATCTGCCTCCGAATACAGTACATCTGCTTAAGCTCCTACAAGTGCTACTCTAAACATTCTCCTTCAGGGCATACACTATATGCTTACAATCCTAAAAATAGCAATCCACAGTAACAAAAATCAAAGCAGAGAAGAAAATACAATCTTGCTCCAAAAAGTCAGGTCCGCAGCTTGGACGTTTTCCTGGAGACAAGATGCACAGGGTTTCAGCAATGGCCAGGAACGCATTCATACAGTTAAAGGTGGTGCACCAGCTCTGCCCAATCCTTGAGATGACACAAGCCTTAATTACATCCCATTTAATTAGTGCAATGTGCTCTATATGGGTCTGCCTTTGAAGAGTGTTTGAAAACTTCAGCTGGTTCAAAATGCTACTAGATTACTGATTGGCATGGTTATATGGAGCATGTAACTCCCTTATGAAAACAGTTTCACTGGCTGCCAATCTGTTTCCAGGTCCAATCCAAAGGGCATGTTGTTATCTATAAAGCTCTATAGGTCTTAGGTCCAGGCTAGTTGAAGGACTGTGTCACCTCATACGATCCTTCTCAGTTTTTAAGATCTTCTGGGGAGGCCCTTCTCTCAGTTCCACCACCTTCCTAAGCTCGTTTAGTGAGGACATGAAAGACAGCCTTCTCAATGGCTGCTCCCATGGCTTTGGAATGCACTGCCTCAAGAAGCCAGGTGGGCCCCTTCCTCTTGTCCTTCCATCATTAGGCAAAGACCTTCCTCTTTTAAGCAGCAAGTTGTCTCAGGAATGCTGGTTTTTATCTTATACATTTTGAAACGTTTTTAACTTGAATTCTTAAAATCTTAATATATATTTATCTTTTAATTTTCTTTTATTAATATAAATATGATTATTATTTATATAGTGTTTTTGAATCTGTTGCTTTATCTGTTTTGAGCCACCTTGGGTCCCTTATGGAGAGAAAGGAGGCATATAAACAAAATAAATCCCCCTCTTCTTGGTAGGTGTTATTTTTATATTATAACAGTATACAGCATTCGAGTAGCTTACTTCCCTTTCAAAAATTCTGGTTCATCTGGAGTTCTCCATAATATGTTGGTAGATACCAGTACATTGTTAAAGCTATTGGCCTGGTAGAACAGAGACCCTAAACCTACAGCTATCGCTGCTTATCATGTTTCAAAGTAGGCATGGTGGTTATAAGAAGGAGTGGGGGGGGGAATCTATCCCCAGAGAGAAGTTATAGTGGCTGGTCTCTTAACATATTCTGCAAAGGGAATGATAGGTAGGAAATCCCAGCTCAGGGGGTACTTAGTTCTGTTCTTCTGCAGATGATGGAAAATAGCCAAACCCCTTTGCTGAAAGTAACACTGAAATCTTGTCAGAAAGTACAAATATATCAGCCTTCCTACTAGAAGTGGGAAAGCCCATCCACTCTGGCAAACATGCAAGTTATTCTTTAAGTTGCAAAGACTAAATGACATGCAGGAGACATGATGGTGTACATCTAGTTTGCACTAAGTTTGAAAGGACTGTTAAGAATTCAGTTGGAAGAATTCAACTAATATTCTGGTAGACAAGGCATCTGTACAAGGCACAGAATAATCTGTGTACTGTTCCCCTGAACTGAATGGTTCAAAATTGGGAAAGGAGTATGACAAGGCTGTATATTGTCTCCCTGCTTATTTAACTTATATGCAGAATACATCATGTGAAAGGCTGGACTGGAGGAATCCCAAGCCAGAATTGAAATTGCCGGAAGAACTATCAACAACCTCAGATATGCAGATGATAACCTCTCTGATAGCAGAAAATGAGAATTAAAGAACCTCTTAATGAGGGTGAAAAGAGGAGAGCACAAAAAATGGTCTAAAGCTTAACATCAAAAATACTAAGATCATGGTCACTGATCCCATCACCTCCTAGGATATAGAAGGGAAAGATATGGAGGCAGTGAGAGATTTTACTTTCGTGGGCTCCATGATCACTGCATATGGTGACAGCAGCCATGAAATTAAAAGACGCCTGCTTCTTGGGAGGAAAGCAATGACAAACCTAGACAGCATCTTAAAAAGCAGAGACATCATCTTGCCGACAAAGGTCCACATAATCAAAGCTATGGTTTTTCCAGTAGCGATGTATGGAAATGAGAGCTGGACCTTAAAGAAGGCTGACCACCGAAGAATTGATGCTTTTGAATTGTGGTCCTGGAGGAAACTCTTGAGAGTCCCCTGGACTGCAAGGAGAACAAACCTATCCATTCTAAAGGAAATCAACCCTGAGTGCTCACTGGAATGACAGATCCTGAAGCTGAGGCTCCAATACTTTGGTCATCTCATGAGAAGAGAAAACTCCCTGGAAAAGACCCTGATGTTGGGAAAGTGTGAAGGCAAGAGGAGAAAGGGACGACAGAGGATGAGATGGATGGACAGTGTCATTGAAGCTACCAACATGAATTTGACTAAACTCCAGGAGGCAGTGGAAGACAGGAGGGCCTGGCGTGCTCTGGTCCATGGGGTCACGAAGAGTTGGACACAATGACTAAACAACAAATTTGTGTATTATGAGAGATGATGTATCATCCATTATTCTTTTATTTTTTGCTATTACTTTGACCTCTTCTTTACCTGATGTATTTTGAGCATGTTCTCATGAGACCTGAGCATACCGATATAAGGAAAATTTGGCTGGGATTGATCAACAGTTACGTTTCATCTGAGTGCTGCAGCTGGTCGAGTGGTGAACAGGCGGGGGTGGGGGAGTGCCATATGAAGAAAGGTTTCTCCTCAGACCATCCATAAGACTTCATATGCCTTCTGACGTCTATATGTAATCCTATCTATCCTGCCAGAACTGCCGATTGAACAATGAGCTATTTATAATGGGAGTCTATATAGGAGAGAAATTACAAGTGGGCTGGTAACATATCCATAACTGCTGGTAACAGGAGCAACTATCCATTCTACTGATTAGTGGACCTGGGCTACAACTACACATCGCATAACATTCAATCAGCATTTTACTAAAGGTTATCTATAATTGAAAGTGAAAATGCTTCTATTACAAATGTTTTAATGAAGGTGAAAACAAAACCACTGGCTGCCTCCTGCTGCTCCCAGGCAAGAAGAGTAGTCACCCAGTATGGTCCAGCCAGCAACATTATTTTTGCCCACGGAATCAGCTTGTGTCTCCATTTTCATCACATGCACACTAGGCTACCTGTCTTCCTCTGTAAGTCTTGCCTGTCAAGCAGGTGGCTGGGGGTGGCAGCTGGGGAGTGTAGGTTGGCAGCAGTACCAGCGGGGATATCGCCCACCCTCAAAAATGCCCCATCCAGATCTCCTTGATCCCTAGCTGTTGCTGCTGTCCAGCTGTCTGCTGGACAATGTGTTTTAAAATGGTGCCCAATGCACACAATATTAATTTGCAATAAGGCATACATCATGTGAAGCGACAGAAGCAGCTTCACATTGACCAGTATCAGGCACATTTGTAGTACCAGCCCTGACTACCCTCATGAATTCTCATACCATCATGCCTGGTTCTAATCTGAAGGATCCTGGTCCCATTAACCTCAAACACCATATGTTTATATTTTAGGTAATAGGGGTGTATATGGGATTTGGAATAAGACATGTGCCCCCTAGAACAACTAATGCCTAAGATACCATGCATATCTCCATCTCTGTTCTAAGGCTGGGAAAGAAATACACCAGTTCTCCTTCCAACAAAGCCTGAAGTACAATGGCCCTAAATTTGTTTGCATAGAGAAAGAGAGTGAAATGTGTTTTTACAGGTTTGGGGGTCCCAGTAATAGTATCAGAGCACACAGGAATTCCTGTATTGGTTACAGATATATATTTAAAGCTGAAACAAACAATGTCTGATCCTGCTTTTGCTTCTACTAGCAGATATGAACACAATGCTACTATATCAGAATCCATCCAGTAGACTTGGACTACAATCCTATGGGCTTTTATTTGAAACAGAAGCCTCATTGTCAACCCATGACCCACTGGTGAACAGCTGAAGTACTTGCTCACCAGTCTCTCTGCGGGAACACGGAAGCTTCTAGCACATTTTCTTCCATGTCAAAGTACAGCTTCAGTATCAAATAACAATGCAAATACTCACACCCAACAAGATATATTTATTTCTAAAAGCAATATGAAACTGTGGCAGACATTTTCATTACTCTATTAGAGATCATGCAAAACTTGCAAAAAGAAAAACAATTTTATAGAACACAAACAATTTTAAATCTTCATTCAGAAAGCAATTAACAGCTAGATTTTTACTCACTCTTCTTTCCACAGAGGACGCTCTCTCACCCAAGCACCCACTATTTTCTATACACTATTACAGACTTCAGAATCTATAGACATGAGCTTTTCGTCAAATCCCTGTTCTAAATCTCAAATCCCTGCCCTTCAGCTCTTCTTCTGCTGGAAAATATGACAACATGTCTAATTCTATTTTAGACAACAGCATTCTTTCCCACGTACTTTCAGCTCTACAAAACATTTAATTATACAACAGTATAAACCATCAGGACATGTCACTATTACTAATTTACTGCAAACAAGAGAAAAAAGAGGAAAAAAAGAAACATAGCCTTACTCCAGAGTTTGTGAATTCCTGGTGGACTCTTATTTGAGAGCAGCCACAGTCCTCAGCAGCGTCTGGTATTTTTAGCCCACTCCTCTGGTCTTGTTTTAATCTTACCGCCTCACACTCACTATTCCTCATCTATGTCTTCTTGTTTTAAACAGCAAGCAAGTTACCAGAGATTCGTTGAAATCATTAATAGGATTATTCGTCCACTCAGACACTTCCTGAGACTTCAGTTCAATTCTGTACAAGCCGATTAGCAGTCTGCTCGAGGAGCACAGATAGATTTGTACTTGCTGGCAGTAAACTCAGAGGGCAGGCACTGACTGTGAAAACATGCTGTTTCCTGTCTGCAAGTAGACCTAAGAGGTACTCCCCAATTGAAGGGAGTATATGAAGACTCCAGGAGTTTCAGCTCCACCTCTTCAGCAGTCTAGACTTTAATCCTATAACTCCAAGGTAAGAAGCATTATTACTGACAGCCTGGTCCTTGTTGCTGACATACTACTCCCAGAGTAGATATATTAATTTTCAGAGAACCACCAGCACAAGGGGAGCAAGCTAACCCTTCTGCCAACTCTAGCAGGTATCCAGAGCTTTTTCTTGGACAATCTCTTAATTATCAAAAAGTAAATATGAAAATCTGTTGAAATCCACATTAAAAATCATTCATAAAGCACAGTAAACTGCATTTCAAGGATTTTGTGTGATTATTCTAGAGCAGTGTTTCCCAACCTTTTTCAATTTGCAACCCCCTTTTATAATAGTCAAGTAACCTGTGACCCCTGCCACATTTGCACAGACAGGCATTTTAACAGGGTAAAAGAAAGTACATTAAAATATATATTTTTCATATTATAATTCTAATCTACCGTATTTTTCGCACCATAAGACGCACCTTTTCCCCACAAAACAGGGGGGTGGAAAGTCTGTGCGTCTTATGGAGCGAAGAAAACAGATTATATTTTCCTGTTTTCTCCTCCTAAACAGGGTAAAAGAAAGTACATTAAAATATACATTTTTCATATTATAATTCTAATCTAATTTACTAATATTAATGCAATACTGTAATACATAATTAGGTGTGGTGCGTCTTATGGAAAGGTGCGTCTTATGGAGCGAAAAATACGGTAATTTACTAATATTAATGGAATACTGTAATACATAATTAGGGGGACTGTAAATCTGCCTCTACCAGATAAAATTTGAGAAGCAAAAAAATGTCAATATACTTTGAATTTAATGTAATTTTTTGGGTGTGGAGATGACCCTCCCAAGAAAGCCATGTATGCAAGGAGTGCCGTATTATGGACTGCACTATGGCTAATGCCTACATTACCACTATGCAGGTATGCAGCATTGCCAGGGAAGGCTGAGACAGACATTTTGGTCAAAAGTTGGCGGGTTATGGCGTTATAGACACTGGATGTATCACTATCCTACCATACTTAGGTGTCAGATGGACTGGCCCCAGGAAGACTGGATGAAAGTTTGCTGTATTCACAGCGATATTAAGCTCTGTGCCATTACTGTACTCACATTTGGATTACAAGAGGAAAAGAAAGGCAATGGCTAAGGGTGAGGTTAGTGCCAGGATTATCACATCCCATGCTATTTGGAAGGAATTCAAAAAGCATGGAAAAGCTGATGTGGAAATTGAAAGTGGCACTAGCCACAGTGGGAGAGACTGAGCAAATAGTGGAGTTGGGAAATGTAGTCTGAGCACAAGTTAGGGCTTGGCAGCAGGAAGACACGGTTCTATCATAAGCATTAGTAGCTGCCAAGACTGATGGGACTACTGCAGCAGGGCAACTGGGATTTAAATTAAGGAAAGAGTTGCTTTATTAGATAAATCCTGAGTCAATTTACCAGGGAGCCCAGTTAGTATTCCCCCAGTGTTTACATTAGGTTTCAATGAAGTTAGCTCATGACCCACTGCTATTTGGCCTCTGAGAAAATAAGTGCGCAAATACTGCAGCAGCTCTTTTAGCCAGTCTTTACTCAGAAGAAGACAGGTACTGCTGGTCCTGTCCTGTGTGCCAGAAAGCCCAACCCAGGCACTCCATTAGTTCCCACACCTCTGAGGAATAAGCTTTTAGAGGGTGGCCTTAGATATCGTGGGACCCTTGCCCAAGTCAGCAGGTGGGCATACACATGTCTTAGTGGTAATAGATTACACTACTTGCTATCCCAAGGGGACTGCCTTGCATTCCACTATAGCTCAAATGTTAGCCAGGAAACTGATAGAGCTCTTTACAAGAGTAGGTTTCTCAGAGGCTATTCTTATGGATCAAGGCACTACTTTCTTCAGTCAGCCATTACAGGAAGCTTTTACATATCCATCTGCTCCATACCCCAGTCTACCATCCTCAGACAAGTGGACTGGTTGAGTGCTTTCTTAAAACTCTTATGTTGTAGAGGCTGTTGTAGGATTGCCCCGCACAGTGGCATCTTATGTTAACCCTCTCCGATGTTTGTGATGAGGGAAGTCCCAAAAGACTCACTTGGATTCTCCCCGTTCAACCTCCTGTATGGTTGCTGACCATGAGGAATTCTTAGTTTTTTTGATGTTGAGTTTCAGACCGTTTTTTGCACTCTCCTCTTTCACTCTCATTACAAGGTTCTTTAATTCCTCCTCACTTTCTGCCATCAGAGTGGTATCATCTGCATATCGTAGGTTGTTGATATTTCTTCCGGCAATCTTAATTCCGGTTTGGGTTTCTTCCAGTCCAGCCTTCCGCATGGTGTATTCTGCATATAAGTTAAATAAGCTGGGGGACAGTATACAGCCTTGCCGTACTCCTTTCCCAATTTTGAACCACTCAGTTGTTCCATGACCAGTTCTAACTGTTGCTTCCTGTCCCACATATAGGTTTCTCAGGAGACAGATAAAGTGGTCAGGCACTCCCATTTCTTTAAGAACTTGCCATAGTTTGCTGTGGTCCACACAGTCAAAGGCTTTCGCATAGTCAATGAAGCAGAAGTAGATATTTTTCTGGAACTCTCTGGCTTTCTCCATAATCCAGCGCAAGTTAGCAAATTGCTTTTACCCTCAGAAACCAACAAACTGTTTGCTCAATGGCAGGGTCCTTTTGAGGTGGTGAGGAAAGTGGGGCTGGTTAACTACGAGGTCCGTATGCCGGACTGGCACTGATCCTTACAGATATTCCATGTTAACCTCTTCAAACAGTGGCATGACCAAGAGGCTCTGTACGGTCATGCCGAAGAGGTAGAGCTAGGGACAGAGGCAGTGGTGGCCCTACAGGTAAAGAGAGCTCACAGGGTTCTTGAGGAGGGCTTGCCAAGGGGCAGCATCAACAGTTGCGGTGTCTCAAGGCATAATTCCCCGATGTTTTGCCCACCAAGCAGGGTGCACATTGCATTGACAATGCAACATTTTACGGTTTTGCATTCAGAGGCTCAGCCCTGGTCACATCAGATGTGCCAGGTAATCACAGATGAAGTAACGTCTATGACACAAAAGGGAGTTATAGAGTCATCCATGAGCCCATGGAGAAGTCACCCCACTTTGATACCCAAGCTAGATGGAAATGTCCAATTTTGTATATATTTTCTAAGGGAAAACTGAATGTTGAAGTTTGATCTGAATATTGAAGACTTATCCTATGCCTCGGATGGACAAAAAATTGAGAAGCTAGAGCAAGCCTTGTACCTCTCCTCCCTAGATCTCACTAAGGGTTACTGGCAGATTCCCCTAAGGTCATCTGATACAGAGAAGACTGCCTTCATGGCTTCTTTAGACCTGTACAGTTCACATTCATGCCCTTCAGTCTACACAGGGCAATGGCCACCTTCCAGAACCTCATGGACAAGATGCTTATTCCAGTGCAAGATTTCACCACTGCCTACACAGATGACAACACTATCGTTACTCAGTTTTGGGAGGAGTACTTACAACACCTGTGGACAGTATTAAAAGCATCTAAGAAGGCTGGGCTGACGGCAAATGTAAGATGGCACAGGTGCCAGTGCAATTATTTGGGTGTCATAGTGGGAGGAGGTGAGATGAAGCAAGTAGCAGACAAAGTTACCAAGGTCTTCTCCTGGATCTGCCCTTGGATGAAGAAGGAACTGCAGCAGTTCCCAGGGCTTGCAGAATATTATAGACAATTTATTCCCCATTTTGTCAAGGCTGCTGTCCCTTAACTATCTTACTCAAAAAGGACCTCCAAAGGAAGTTTGCTGGGTGATAAAGAGCAATGAGCCTTTGATGAACTGAAATAAAGACTCTGTTCTGCCACCATCTCTCAAACTCCTGACTTTAACAAGTCCCTTCATCCCATTTATAGATGCCTCGAAACAAGACCTGGAGGCTGTTCTGGCCCTACATACCAAAACAGGGGAGCATCCAATACTATTCCTCAGAGGAAAACTTACCCAGAGAACAAAGGTATGTGGCTATAGAAAGAGAAGCTCTTGCTATTAAATGGGCGACCTTCTGCTGTGCTATCTTCTGGGTGCCCCCTTTTTGCTGGTAATGGATCATGCACCCTTGCAGTGGCTGCAGAGGATGAAGGACTTGAACCCCAGGTTAAGCAGATGTATCTAGTCTTGCAGTCCTTTGCCTTCCAGGTGCAATATCAGAAGGTCTGCAACCTTGTTGCAGAACCAGCAACAAGATTCCCCCAAAGCCACGCATGTGCACAACTTTGCCTCCCTTCACACAGCTTTCTTCCTCTTCTGGGCAGCAACTGTTTTCAATTCCTTTGGTTCTGGTTGCGACAGAACCCTGTGCACAGTGGAGCAGAGCCGTGTGCGCATGCAGGGGCAAAAATCACACCTGAGAGAGGCACTGCCCTGCCCAGCAGTGCTGAAAATTAGAGGGTATGTTGGCTGGCAAACTCAAATGTGGACTACTTTTCCTGGCAGGAATTGTGGGACAGCAGAGACAGCATGGTGGACATCCACTTGGAGGGAGGGTCATGTGGGACCAGCCCTGCTCACCCTACCAGTGAGAGTAGGCTTTTCACCTCCCTAAAAGTAAGGGCGAGATTCCTGACCTGCAGTTCACCTGTGGACTGGGGTGGTGATGTAGACCACTGGTTCTTAACCTTGGGTTACTCAGGAGTTTGGGACTGCAACTCCCAGAAGCCTTCACCACCAGCTGTGCTGACTGGGGTTTCTGGGAGTTGAAGTTCAAAAGCATCTGAGTAACAAAGGTTAAGAACCACTATTGTAGACACCTTAGAGGCTATATGTGTGGACATGGGGTGTATGTGGAGATTTAAGGAGCAGAGCAATAAGGAAGCCGGGAAAAAGCATCCGAGTAACAAAGGTTACTCGGTGTAGACA